CATTTGGAGCCTCTCAGGGGGACTGGCAACAGCCCAGGTCCTCCCACGTTATGGTTGTAAACTTTGTGTGGGGGGGGGTGGCCTGCCGATCCCCTCACCGGCAGCACCGTCACTAGTAGGTGAAGGAGACACAAGTCGGGAAACCTACAGGGTGGCCACAGGTCAGCCTCATTCTATACAAATTGCAGACCTCTCCCAACCATGAGGAGTGAGGTGGTCCCTTTGATAAAGCAAGACAAGTGGCCCAGGATGGAAAGTCTGAGGGCCAAAAGAACCCAACAAGAAAGGGAGCAGTCTTGAAAGAAATACTAAATAAACATGGTAACAGAAACTGTTATATATACACCCATAAACAATGATGGACAGTTCCCAGGATCCTTTGAGGTTGGGTGTGGCTATGCATCTAAATTTTGACCAACAGAATGTAAGCAGAAGTGCGGTTACACTCTTCTCTCTTCTTCCCTGCTGCCTGGAATGCAACACGATGGCTGGAGCTCCAAGCAGCCCTATTGGACCATGAGGTGATCTTACGTCTGGAAGCCTCTGCTAACAGAGACATGAGCCTGAGTCCCTGACAATTGTGTGAAACTACCCATTCTTCCTAAACTGCCTACTTCCAGATTCCTTTTATATGAGAGAGAAATAAAATGGCAATTTATTTAATCCACTGTTATTTTTGGCTTTTCTGGTATGGGCAGACAAATGTAATCCCAACTATACAGAAATTTGACACAAGTGAGTTATCTAATTAATATTTTTTAAGTTTATGTGTGAACAACATAAACAGGGAACCTAGATATTGATGCTGGTTTCTGTAGGAAGGGATGGTGAATATCCCAAATGGCAAATAAGGGATAAAGAGAGAACTTTCATAATAATAAAAGAATAATTTCATTAGGAAGATTTTTTCTTAATCTTACATGTATATGTACTTCACAGCTTCAAATTAAATAAACCAAAACCTGACAGACTACCAGGAGAGATCAACAAATCCACAATCAAAGTTGGAGATTTTAACAATTTCTCTTAGTAACTGATAGAACAAGCAAGCAAGCAAACAAACAAAAGGAAGGCAATAATAGAAAGTTTAAACAATCCAGTTCCCTCCTGGGTATATTCCAAAGAAATGAGACTTTAGGTGCTCCCAAAGATATATTTCAAGAATATTCACAGCAGCTTTAATTAGAGCAGCCCCCAAACTGGAAAAACCTATACGGTTCTCAGCAGCAGAATGGATGAATTACTAGTGTTATGTTAATTAATAGAATATTACATAACAAGGAAAAGACAATACAGTTCATTCATCAATCACACAGATGTGATGTTGAATGAGAGAAATCAGTTACACAGTGCATATTCTATGATTCTGGGTAGGTGAAGTTCAAAAATAGGCAAAAATGATATATAATGTTACAGGTCAGAATGGCATTTAACCTTTGAGGGTTATGAGTTAGAAGCAGAGCAGAAGGGAGTTTCTTGGGATGGTGGAATGTTCCACATCTCTATCTAGGAAGTGATTATATATGGATGTACGTTTGTGTAAAAATTCATCATATATTTGTACACTATACTGTATATAAGTTATGCCCCAATTAAAAAAAAAAAACAGAAGAGGCATTATTTGGAAGTTTTATGCAAATTAACTATTTCATATCTTCCTAAATCTCTAGCATTTTATTTTTTTGTTATAATTATATAAAGAAAAAGTAATTTTTTTCACCAAGCCCCATGCATACACCCTCAAATCCCTCTAGTTAACACTTGGGTGCAATAAAAATGTTTAATTTCCTCTACACGCCTTGACATGGAAAGGCTTGAAACCCCTGCTCTGGGTAACAAGAAGCCAATTAGGTTGTTTGGGCAGAGCCTGGGGATAGCAGGACCAGTGACAGAGTATACCGGGGATTGGCCTGGGGAAGGAGTAAGCCAAGGGAGGTGTGATGGTCAGTTTCATGTGTCAGCTTGATTGGGCCCCAGGATGCCCAGGTAGCTGCATAAACATTACGTCCCCGCCTGTCCCGCAGGGATGTTTCAGAAGCGATTAGCATTTGAATCAATGGACTTGGTAAAGACAGATGGCCCTCCCCAAAGGGGCTGGGCATCATCCAACCCATTAGGGGCCCAAACAGAACAAACAGGCAGGGCAAGTTTGAATTCACTCCCTCTGCCCAACTGAATGAGCTGATCAGTCTCTGAATGAGCCACTGCCTGTTACGGAGGAATGTTTAAGAAAGAGCCATGGGAAAACTGCTATTGAACTTTCTGTGAGGAAGGAATGGAGGATGCGGGCTTCAGCATCTCTCAGGGTCCCCTAGGTAAGGACCCAGCAGGAAAACCTCTCTCAGGTGCAGCGACAGGAAAGACTGGGCCCTTTGGAGAAGCTGGTTTGGGTTTACCTTGTGGTAAATGACTCCCCACTTTGTCCGGCTGCTAAGGAACTTGCAGCCAGAGCAACGAGAGAGGACTTAGAAAAGCACCTGTGCGCTCCCCCTCCTGCTAGCTTCACCTGCTTCTCCTCCTTGTGCTTCCCTTTACCCCATTTCCTCAGCGGTTTCATTTTGTCTTCTTATACATACCTTTGGAGGCTGCCACAACTCCTCTTTCTGGATACAGGTGGGGCACAAATAAATAGGAAAGGAGATGGACAAGAAAGGGGGAGGTGGTCCACTCAGATGGAGAAAGAGTGCGCAAAGTAAAGGCTGAATAGGCATTACTCCAAAGATGATATACAACCGCCAACAAGCATATAAGAGGAAGCTTAATGTCACAAATCATGGGGAAATGTGAATCAGAACCACAATGAGACATTGCCTCATACCCATTATGATGGCTTCTATCAAAAAAGGGAGGGAGGGAGGGAGGGAGGGAGGGAGGAAGGAAGGAAGGAAGGAAGGAAATAAGTGTTGGTGAGGATGTGGAGAAAAAGGAACCCTCATGCACTGCTGGTGGGAATGTAAACTGGTGCAGCCATTTGGGAAAACAGTATGAAGGTTCCTCAAAAAATTAAAAATAGAACTACCATACTATCCAGCAATGCCATTTCTGGGTATATATCAAAGGAAATGAAAGGTGGATTTCAACGAGATTTGCACACCTATGTTTACAGCAGAATTATTCACAAGAGCCAAGAGGTGGAAGCAACCCAAATGTCCATCAACAGATGAATGGATAAACAAATATGATATATCCATGCAATGGAATATTATTCAACCTTGAAAAGGTTGTCACATGCTACCACGTGGATGCCCCCTGAGAACATTATGCTAAGTGAAATAAATAAGCCAGTCCAAAAAGACAAATACTGTGTGATTCCACTTATATGAGGGATCTAAAGGTATCAAATTCAGAGACAGAAAGTAGAATGGGGACTACAAGGGGAGATGGGGAGGAGTGTTGTTGTTGAATGAGTACAAAGTTTCAGCTTCAAAAGATAGAAAGTTCTGAAGATTGGTTGCACAACAATGTGAATGTACCTTGTGCACTTAGAAATGGTGAAAATGGGCAATTTTATGTTGTGTGTCTTCTTTTAATTATGTGTAATTTTTTGTTGTTGTTAAAGACTTTTATTTATTTATTTGGCAGAGAGAGACACAGCAAGAGAGGGAACACAAGCAGGGAGAGTAGGAGAGGGAGAAGCAGGCTTCCAGCAGAGCAGGTAGCCCAATGCAGGGCTCGATTCCAGGACTCCGGGATCGTGACCTGAGGCGAAGGCAGACGCCCAACGACTGAGCCACCCAGGCGCCCCTAATTACGTGTAATTTTTTTTTTTTTAAGTAAAGACAAGAGGGGCACCTGGGTGGCTCAGATGATAAAGGTCTGCCTTCGGCTCGGGTCATGATCTCGGAATCCTGGGATCAAGCCCTGCATCGGGCTCCCCGCTCAGTGGGGAGTCTGCATCTCCCTCTCCCTCTGCTCCTCCCCCTTGCTCTTGCTCTCTCTCTGTCTCTTTCAAATAAATAAATAAAATTTTTAAAAATAAATAAAGACAAGAAAGACTACCTGAACTTTTCACAAATTTGCTCAGTATGCTTCCTGATCTCAGGTTGAAAGAAGCTGGTGGTTTCATTTGGAATCTGTCCATCCCAGCCCCTGCCACTCAGGAGAGAGAGGAGGTATTTGTATCCAGCCAGTGACAGTAAGGAAATTCAATCACCTGTCTTGGCTGTCAATAAATATTCAGTATTTGCATGATAATTCTTAAGTTTCCTTTCTTCCTAAGTAAGATTGCCAAACCATTTTAACTGCTCTCCTTGAATACATAATCAGAACCACATTTATGAGACAGGATTTTTTTTCCCCCTTTCTACTTCTCTCAACATCTACCCCCTTGTTTTTATGTGCTTATGACAATGTTCCTCCCACACGCAACTAAAGAAGCACAGATTTTAAAGGAAGTGTTTTACATCGAGGATCCACATTATTTAACACGGAACCAAAGCGAACTAATGGAGTAAGCAGAGGAGAATATAGGTTAGTGAGTCAATACTATTCGAGTTCATCTGAGGCCAAGCAGTGCTTTGGATGATTCATGTTCCATTCACTTTGATTCAGTCACGGGTGCTTTACACTTCCTTCCAACCTACAGGCCCAGCTAGTGGCTTGTCCCCGTGCCATGGCTTTTTGCAGTTTTATATAACGTTAAAACTTGGTAAGTGTGGCTCAGATGTCTGGTTTGAATGTCATGTGATAAAAGCCAGAAATTAAACGACAGCACCAGGAAAGGGCATATAAAATTAACTGAGTTTCCTGTAAATTAAAAAAGTGAAAAACAGTTTGCTCCACCTGACGCCACACCCAAGTACAGACACCAAATTCAATTCAGATGGAAATCACACTTGCTCTGTGACCTTGGGAGCGTCTTTCACTTTCATCTAATTTCTTCCGTCGGTAAAATGATCAGTAGTAATATAGACTTCTTTTTTTTTTTTTTTTTTTTTTAAAGTAGGCTCTAACCTAGGGCTTAACCTCATGACTGTGAGATCAAGACCTGAGCCCGGATCAAGAGTCAGACGCTTAACTGGCTGAGCCACCCACGCACCCCTAATACTCCTGACTCAAGACATCAAACTCTGTTTAAAAGAAAGAGGCTGCACCGAGGTTACCAGAAGCATTCAAATTGCTGTGTGGTAGACTGGCGGGCTGGTAAAAGTCTTGTTAACTCAGGTTGACCGTCATGGCGGTCAAGAGGTCTTCCCATTGTGTGTCCATGCTGGAGATGCCTTCCAATGCATTAACGTGGGGTTGCAAATACCGTCCACATGCGTAAGCGTTCTCCAAAGGGCTGCCAGGTGCTCTTTGATAGTGTGGTCATTTCGGGAAAAAATGTGATCAAACCATTTGGCTTACACAGATTTCAGAGTCTTGGAATGTAATATTAAACCACAAGTTTCGCAGGCATCCTATTACATTTTTTTCTCAGATTTTAAAACTTTTTATTTGCAGAGTCAAAATCATGTGTTCCAATAATTAAGATCATTGGAACAACAACAACAACAACAAAAATGGCACTGATTAAACTGCATTTTACAGCCTGCAGGACACCTTGGACCAGCTTGGTTTTTACTCTAGATTTCACTGTCATCCCACCAGCTTCTTTCTTCACCAACATGCAGGCTCTTTTCCTTCCCTGCCAACCAGCGGGCAGATGGGAGAGACAGGCACGGCTCGTTGTCAGTAGTTCTCCATTCTTTGATGTGAAAAGGGGTAGTACAGTCATTTAAACTTGATCCAACCTCTTTGCATCTTGCAAAGTTAAACAGCTAAAAGCAGTAAAACACGAAGGCAATGCCCGTGGAAGGTACAGTGCATATTGGTGGCGCTCGCCTCATTCCGATTCACCTGCTTGCTTCTCCTGTTCAGTGGGTGCTTCTCTTGTGTTTCTGTCTCCTTCCATTGCCATCTGACGGATTGCTCAATCTCAGCCCTATCGGGTTTGTCAGATAAGCTTGCAGAGGAAGCGGAACGAGATGCCCAAGTAAGTGGAGGCCAGTCTACTACATTCTCAATAGTTACATATCTATTTTTTAGAGATTTTATTTATTTATTTAAGAGAGAGAGAGAGAGAGCACAAGCAGGGGGAGGGGCAGAGGGAGAAGGACAAGCAGACTGGCCGCCGAGTGAGGAGCCCATAGGGGGCTGGATCCCAGCATCCAGAGATCATGACCTGAGCCAAAGGCACTTAACCGACTGAGCCACCCAGGTACCCCATAATAGTTATATTTTTTAGAAAGTTGCTTGGGACGCCTGGGGGGGTTCAGTCGGTTAAGCATCTGCCTTCAGGTCAGGTCATGATCTCCAGGTCCTGGGATGGAGCCCCAAGTTGGGTTCCCTGCTCAGTGGGTAGTTTGCTTCTCCCTCTCCCTCTGCCCCTCCCCCTGCTCCTTCTCTCTCTCCCCCCCACCTAATAAATAAATAAATAAATAAATAAAATCTTAAAAAAAAAGTTGTACATACATTTCAAAGATTTTGTGGTTTAATCTTGGAGTATTGTCACCTCACTAGCATGTTACTCTCAGTAAGTAATACAGTAATAGACACTACCGAAATATATAGTAACATAGCATAGTAATGAATACTACCATAACATATAGTATATGTTACTGTAATATAGTAATATCTAACATGGTAGCTAAGAGAGGAATAGACTTAACCTTTGAACAATTTTCTTCTAAATTGGTATCATATGTGCCACTAGCATGTCTATAGCATTTTGCAGTTTATAAATGCTTTTAGCTTCCCTTCGGCAACACTGTGAAGGAACTAAGCTCCAAAATTTAAGTGGTGTGCCAAGGTTGAGATAGCTCCAATCCATTAATGGTAGCTCCATCAAAATTTGGAATATACTGCAGGAGAATAGAGAACCTAACTTTTTTTTTTTTTTTTTTGAGAAAGAGGGGGAGAGAGAGTGAAAGTGGAGTGGTGGGGGGGTGCAGAGGGAGAGGGAGAGAGAGAATCTTAAGCAGACTCCACGCCCAGCAGAGTGATGCGGGGCTCAATCTCACCACCTTGAGATCATGACCTGAGCCAAAATCAAGAGTCAGCAGCTTAACTGACTAAGCCACCCGGGCGCCCCAAACCTAACATTTTTTTTTACAGAGATGCATGATTTAGAGAATTTGGGTTTGTTTTTCTTTCAGATCACTTTGTACTGAGGATGAGAAACTAATTTCACTTGAACTGCCATCAAAAAATGATTTTTTGTTTCATTATACTGTTTCTGAATTAACCAAGGCATATATTTTTCAAAGACAAGCATTATTTTATGATGCCAATAATGCAAACTAAGGATTGTTTTTATCATTTCAAATGGCCTGTTTAATAGTCCTCAAGTGAATTGTCTTACCCATTCCTTCGGGTCCAAAATGTCTCAAGTTTTAATGCAGGGGGAGGGAGGCGGGGAAAAAGGTTATCAGGATATCTTAAGAGTAAGGGACAACTGTGCAAACAACTAATTGGGAAGTTTGGCTCTTTCCCCACATTTGATGGTTCTTCATTTGTTCAAGAATAAAATCAGTGGCATGTTGTTGGGCATATTTTCACACCATATGCAGATGCTTGTAGAACATGAAGAATGAATTTCCAGGACTGAATGAAGCCAGACTGGAGTAGGAATCCTTCTCCATGGCAACACATGCGTGACATGCTGGTTGGATTACTCGCTGAATGCAGTCACCAGTGAGCTCTGCCCATCATTTCTGTGTGATCCAACACCATCTGACGGGCGCCCAGCACCTGCCATCACCCTGACTCATCACCGTGAATCTCTGAATCCACTGAAGTCAAGTCTAAGGAAATAAACCAATAAAGGTGTTGAGTGTAACCTAGTACTTAAGCATTTCATCAAGGTGTATATAAATACCTCGTGACAGATATCAGTGTAATCCCTCCCATCAATATGAAACCTTTATCATTATTTTTTTTTTTTTTAAGGAGACTCCACACTGGGCTCCGCTCTGGGCTCCAATGTGGGGCCTGAACTTATGAGCCCGAGATCAAGACCTGAGCTGAAATCAAGAGCTGGAGAGTTAACCGACTGAGCCATCCAGGTGCCCCAATTATCATTAATTTTTAAAGATTCAGCTTTATTATTTTAAAATTTGTGACAAATATATTTCTTAATTAACTGAAAATTTGGGGTCCACATATTTCTTTTTTTTTTTTTAATTTATTTATTTGACACAGAGAGACACAGCGAGAGAGGGAACACAAGCAGGGCGAGTGGGAGACGGAGAAGCAGGCTTCCCGTGGAGCAGGGAGCCCGATGAGGGGCTCGATCCCAGGACCCTGGGATCATGACCTGAGCCAAAGGCAGACGCCCAACGACTGAGCCACCCAGGCGCCCCGGGTCCACATATTTCTTGAATACCCATTAGAGGCCCCACAGAGAGCAAAAATGCAGAATTATGACGTAGAGGTTTGTACACTACGTTCACAAGAAACACTCATTTTCCCATGAGATGGACCAACTAAAATCATACAATGGCAATTCATTTTACCAATCCACAGAATTAAATAAGTTTATGAATAGAATTTTCTCAAGACTATGTTTTTTCTTTCATACATTTTCTTTCACTTTTTGACACATGCTAATCTTGAGCATCACCAGTAAATGATTAAAATTATAAACTGATAATGAAATATTTAGAATCAATATTAAAATATTAATAAATCTTTTAATTATGTAACTTTTCTGCTATGCATCAAACATTTTTCTGCTGGTAAAGGGATTCCTAGTTGATATGACAAATAAATATCAAAATATTGCAGCATATTATATAAAAATGCCATGATGTCTAGTTTCACTCAAAAAAATATATATTTCAGCATATACATTAGATAAAAAATCTTGGGGCACCTGGGCGGCTCAGAGCCCGCATCAGGCTCCCTGCTCAGCGGGAAGCCTACTTCTCCCTCTCCCACTCCCCCTGCTTGTGTTCCCTCTCTCGCTGTGTCCCTCTCTGTCAAATAAATAAAATCTTTAAAAATAAAAATTAAAAAAAAATTTTTTTTTAATCTTAGACGTCACCAGGCCAAAAAGAAAATACTATAAATAAAGTAATAAAATAAAAGACAAATTGGAAAATATATTACAAACATTAGAGGCTTTTCCAACACAGTAAGAAAAAGAAACAACCAGGGGCGCCTGGGTGGCTCAGTTGGTTAAGCAACCTTCTTCGGCTCAGGTCATGATCCTGGAGTCCCAGGATCGAGTCCCTGGATTGAGTCCCGCATCGGGCTCCCTGGTCGGCAGGGAGTCTGCTTCTCCCTCTGACCCTCCCCCCTCTCATGCTCTCTCTCTCTCATTCTCTCTCTCAAATAAATAAATAAAATCTTAAAAAAAAAAAACAATCAATAGAAAATGGAGGAAGGACGGGAAGAATGGGCATTACTCTGAAGACGAGCTACAAATACAGTGTCTGGTGATTCCTGGCACAGGAAACAGTGCACAATACAGAGTAATGAACTAGGGCTCATTAGACTCTTCACCGCTTGTGGTAAATATCTGCTGAGCCCATTCGATACGTTTTTCACTCTGAATCCATGCCCACCAAGGAGCTTCTGATTAATAATTTGTTTTGTCAGGTTTTTGGAACCTGAATAGGATGAGCTGAATCAGAAATCACGAATGCATAAATTAGCTCTGGGACCTGTACATCAGTCTCATAGTAAAAGAAACTAACCAGCGAGGGAACTAGGGAGATGAAAGTTCAAGTGTACATACTTGCAACTAGCAGATAAATAAGCCCTGGGGATCTCATGCACAGCACAGTGATAACGGATAATACTGTATTATAAACTTCAAAGTTGCTAAGAGACTAGATCTTAATTGTTCCCACCACACAAAAGAGATGGTAATTATGTGACATGATAGAGGTGTTAGCTAAGGTTATGGTGGTACTCATATTGTAATATGGAGACGTATACCTGAAACTTACACAATATGTCAATTATCTCTCAATTTAAAAAAGAAACTAACACTTTGTAACAGATTTATAGTTAACAAAATACCTTCACATTTGTTACCGATTGTGAGTTTGCATCAGAATCACTTCTCTGGGCCTAATCAACTCTGGAGATGGAAAGAAATCAATTTTACGGGCATGCCTGGGTGGCTCAGTTGGTTAAGCGTCATGATCCCAGGGTCCTAGGATCGAGTCCCGCATAGGTCTCCTTGCTCAACGGGGAGCCTGCTTCTCCCTCTGCCTACCGCTTCCCCTGCTTCTGCTCTCTCTCTGACAAACAAATAAATAAAATCTTTTAAAAAAAAAAATCAGGGGCGCCTGGGTGGCTCAGTTGGTTAAGCGACTGCCTTCGGCTCAGGTCATGATCCTGGAGTCCCTGGATCGAGTCCCCCATTGGGCTCCCTGCTCAGCAGGGAGTCTGCTTCTCCCTCTGACCCTCCCCCCTCTCATGCTCTCTCGCTCTCATTCTCTCTCTCAAATAAATAAAATCTTTTAAAAAAAAATCAAAAGATTCTTTTAAAAAAAAAATCATTTTTACAGACTTAAAAAGCCAGGAATCAAATCCTTTACTAGTAAAACATTGATTCCTGAAGAGTAGGAATGCTATGGGATATGCTCAGAATTTCGCACAGGGACAGAGAAAAACAAGCTAACAGAATGGACTTGAAGGAGTCAAGGTGAGAAATAATAAAATTGCTTTCTGTTTGCATCTTTCTCAGTTGGGCTCATGCAACAAACCAGTTCCACTAGGGGTCAGGCTTTACTTGAGGTCTATGCCAGTCTGGGTCAGTGATGTATCGGAGGTGGGTTCCCTTCTCCCTCTCTCATCCTCCCCTTTCCTCCTTTCTTCATCCCTCCCCGCTTCCCTCCTAGTTGTCCATTCAGCATGTGTATTTTGAGCACTGGCTATACACCAGGCACAGTATCAGATGCTAAAGATACAGGTAAGGACTCCCACAGTCATAAAGACAAGAGTAGCAAGAAGACTTTAACAAAGTAAATGGTGGAAACAAAATTACAAAACCCATATGCTTGAACTCAACCTTGGTTAGAAAAGGTAATTGGAACAGAAGCTAACCACCTCATCAGTGGTTAATAGTCAACTCTTAAAAGAGTTCTCAAAGTGAGGTCCACAAAACCCTGGGGTCCCATGGGAGCTTGAGAGCTTCCCAAGACTTAAAGACTTTTCTAAATAAAGAAATAAACAAACACAATTTTCTAATGAGATCAATGGTGATATTACAAAGGTGATTTTTAAATTTGTTTTATAGTGAAGTGTGTTAACATCTGGATGATTTACATCAGTGAACCAATATTTTCCAAATAATCAATGCATAATGTTACAAAATCATGGCATGGGTGAAAGATGCATTCAAAGTATAAGACAGGAGATGCCTGGGTGGTTCAGTCGGTTAAGCATCTGCCTTCATCTCAGGTCATGATCCCAGGGTCCTGGGATTGAGTCCCACACCTGGATCCTTGCTCAGTAGGAAGCCTGCTTTTCCCTCTGCCTGCTGCTCTCTCTGCTTGTGCTCTCTCTCTCTCACACAAATAAATAAAATCTTTTAAAAAACAAAACAAAAAAACAAAGCATAAGAGAGGTGAAGGGATTTTAATGTAACAGAAAACACAAAGTTCATTTGTATGGTTTCAGATTCCACATTGCAACTAGACTTTAAGAAACTATTTATCAAGTTTCAATGTATCAAAGAATATGGACAAGGCAACTCTCTTAAAAGACTTGTAAAATAGCCCCATCTCCAACCCACCCACCATTTCTTTTTTTTTTTTTTTTTTTAAGATTTATTTATCCATTTGAGAGAGAGAGAAAGCAGAGGGAGGGGCAGAGGGAGAGAAAGAGAGCCCCCAGGCAGACCCCGGGATGAGCGAAGAGCCCGAAGTGGGGCTCAATCCCAGGACCCGGAGACGAGATCACAACTTGCGCAGAAATCAAGAGTTGGCTGTTCAACCAACTGAGCCAACCAGGCGCCCCCCCACCACCCACCATTTCTAATGCATGTCTATGTGAGGCCATATTTCCGTCAAATATGTCAAACAAGAACAAACGTATCGATCGACTGCAGAAGCAGGTATTCTATTGAAAAGTCGTCTGTTAAGCCAGACATGAAAGAGGTTTGCAAAAATGTAAAATAATGCTACTCTTCTCATTAGTAATTTTAGTTTTAGAAAATATAGATAATTTTTTAAAAAATAGGTTATTTATGTTAGCATGTGATGGGTTTATTATTTTCATTTTAAAACAAATTAATAAATATATTTACATTTCTCAGTGGTAATCTTTAATACAGTTAATACCAATAGATATCATGCCTATATGCAGAAGTTCTTTGGAGTCCTCAATAATTTCTAAGAGTGAAAGAGTCCTGAGACCAAAACCTTTCAGCACCACCATCTTAATGGAACAGTGGGAGAAGCAGAGGTTTCTTCTGTCTCTGCCGATGGGCAATGGAATTCAGTCTTCTGTGGACTGCGAGGAAGGCTGTGGGTGGAGGGCAACCTGAGATTTGAGAAGAGGCCAGAAAGTCCGAGACGGTTGTTATGGGAAACCAGGAGGATGCTGGAAATACAGTGTGATGGTGTCCTCAGGCTCCTCTTAGGTGCTTCCTTTTGGACACTCTTTCTGAGGCCCATGACATGTGTGCAGGGGCTTTCTTGCCTGAAGGGCTGTTTCCAGATGACCCAAGGCTCCTGGCCCTTGCTGTTGTCACAAACCCAGAGGCACACTGAGACTCAAGCAGAGATGGGCAGGGCATCAGTCTTTTTGAGTCTAGTCATCCTAGTGGGCATGAAGTGGTATCTATAGTCATTTTAATTTGCATTTCCTTCATGGCTAATGATGTTGAGCATATTTTCATGCATTTATTTTCCATTCGTATATCTTCTTCAGAGAAAGATCTATTAAGAACCTTTGTCCACCTTTCTTTTTTTTTTTTAAGATTTTATTTATTTATTGAGAGAGAGCACAAGCAGGGGGAGTGGCAGAGGGAGAAGCAGGCTCCCCGCTGAGTGGGGAGCCCAACACAGAGCTCGATCCTAGGACCCTGAGATCATGATCCGAGCCAAAGGCAGATGCTTAACTGACTGAGCCACACAAGTGCCCCTGTCCACTTTTTAACTGGGTTATTTGTCTTGTTATTTTTGAGTTGTAAGTTTCCTTTATATATTCTAAATACAAGTCCCTTATCAGATAGGTGACTTGCAAAAATTTTTCATCATTCTGTGGGTTGTCTTTTCACTTCCCTAATGGTGCCTTTTGCAGCATAAAGTTTTTAATTGTGATGAAGTCTAACTTACCAATTTTTTTTTCTTTTATGTCTTGTGGTTTTGGTGTCAGGTCTAAGAAATCATTGCCTATTCCAAATTCACAAAGATTTATGCTTACGTTTCCTTCTAACAGCTTTGGAGTTTTAGCTCTTACATTTAAGTCTTTGACCTATTTTGAGTAAATTTTGTCTGTGATTTAGGTAGGGGTTCAACTTCATTCTTATTCATGTGGATATCCAGTTGTCCCAGCATCATTGGTTAAAAAGACCATTCTGTCCACTTTGCATTTTCTTGGCAACCTTGTTGAAAATCAATTTCCCTTGAATGTATGGATTTATTCCTAGACCGTCAGATCTAATCCATTGATCTATATGTGTATCCTTATGCCAGTACCACATCGTTCTTTATGAATATACAGGTATAGCATGTTTTGTAATTGAAAAATGTGAATCCTCCAACTCTGTTCTTTTTCAAGATTGTTTCTAAAAAAAAAGATTGTTTCTATATCCTTTGAATTTCCATAAGAATTTTAGGATCAGTTTGTCATTTTCTATAAAGAAGCCAGCTGAGATTTTGATGGAGATTGCACTGAATCTGTAAATCAATGTGGGGGGTATTTCCATCTCAAAAATATTATGTCTTCCAAACCATGAAAAGGAGATGACTTTCTATTTATTTAGGTCTTTAATTTTTTAAATAATGTTTTATAGTTTTCAGAGTACAAGTTCTTTACTTATTTTATTAAAATTTCCCCTCATTATTTTGCTCTTTTTGATGCTATTATAAATTTTAATTTCATTTTCAGATTGTTTATTGCTAGGGTATAGAAATACAATTGATTTTTGTATGTTGATCTTATAGCCTTTGACCTTGCTGAACTCATTTATTAACTTTAATAGATTCATCATGCATTCTTTAGATTTTCTATATTACAAAATCATGTCATCTGGAATTATAGTTTTACTAATTCTTTTCCAATCTGAATGCCTTTGTTTTTCTTGTCCTACTATGATGGCTAGAACCTCTAGTAGAATGTTGAATGGCAGTAGTGAAAGCAGACATCCTTGCCTGTTCCTCATCCTCGGGGAAACATTTGGTAGGATGTTGGCCGTGGGGCTCCAGAAATGCCCTTTGTCAGGTTGAGAATTTTGTATTCCTAGTTCATGGAGTATTTTGATTGTGAAGAGATGTTGAATTTTGTCCGATACTTTTAATGCATCTACTGAGATAACAGAAATCATTTTGCCTTTATGTAAACCTTGTTCTGGACCTGTCAAGTGACCCTTTTTAATAAGATGTGAAGCAAGTACATGGCATTATCTCCAGGAGAGCATGTAACAGGCTCCTTGGGGGATTAGCCATGATCCTGGATTTGGTCTGTGAAGTTCTCCCGGGCATCTGTTTGTTTTTAAATATTTTATTTATTTATTTGAGGGAGAGAGAGAGAGAACATGGAGGGGGGCGGTAAGGGGCAGAGGGAGAAGAAGAAGCAGGCTCCCCACTGAGCAGGGAGCCTGACAAGGGGCTTGATCCCAGGACCCTGGGACCTGAGCCAAAGGCAGAGGCTTAACCGGCTGAGCCACCCAGGCGCCCCTGCCATGCATCTATTTGAATTCCCAAAATTGAATCAGTATCAAGGACTCTTCTGGACCGGAAGAGGTACAGATGTCACCTCTTAATGAGATATGTCGGATTTGTAAGGCATCTTTTATGGGAATATCTGCCCAACAAAAAGGTGCAATTCAGCTCTCAAGGGCACCTCTGAGTTCTGCCCTGGAAGCAAGCACAGGATTATTCCACTGACCTGAGAGCAGAAATGCTGGGTATCTTTCCTTTGCCCCAGCAGATAACTCTCCACCTTTCTCTTCCCTGCTCTGTGCCTGGGAGATGGGTATGAATGAGCCACCTCAACAGACTCCCTAACTCTGCCTTCCAGTTAGGTTTGGACAGTGGAGTTTTGTCACTAGCAGAAGATCAGAAGGCAAGAGAAGGGGAGGTCATTTATTCTCCTGGTTTCCTCCTTTGGGCCAACAAGGGGCATCTGTCTTTCTCTTCCTAAGGCTATTTTTCCTGTCAGTTACTGGAAACGATACTGCCCCTTGATGCTTTAACTGCCCCTACCTGCATCTCTGTAAACAGTCCCTTTGTTAAACCCTTTTCAAACAACCTAACTTGAGTATGCTGCTTCCTGCTACCACCCTGACTAGTAAAGCAAATCCGAGGTTCTTGAACGTATCTTGAGAGGGAAATCTGGGGAGAAAAACCATGCTTTCTGCTACTCATTCTGTTTTGAACTTTGATGGAAATGTGAACTTATTTATTTATTTATTTTTGCCCAAGCCAAAAAGCAGAGCACAAGTTACAGCATTTGCTTGCATCTACTCCCCACCTACCTGGCAGCACCTGGAGGGTAATATTCATATTTGGAGTCCTGGGGATGGTAGATGTTCAAGATATGTTCATCAGCCATAACTGAATTGTAAGACCTTAGGCAGGTCACCTCCTCTCCAGGTCTCAACTTCTTCATCTGTAAATGCATATCCAGGAACACCCACTCCGGCTAAGTAGGAATAAAACAAAGTTAGTACAGGGCTAATTGAAATACTCATTAGATGAGTGCTTTATGTCAGCTTTATTGTTTTCGAGGACACAGTAATTAATATGAACTTGGGTAACAAGGGAAGTTGGACAGAATGTCGTTGGAAGTGCTTTTAATCAAATATTTTAAGTGACACATAATTAGCACACTGTTCTAAAGCAAATGGGGCCTTCACAGGGATAGTCGTTCCCCTTAAGTAATTTACCGGAGAACAGGAGCCAGATTAAATAGCAGGGCCATACAGACACAACATGTGCCACTATGGTCCAGTCCATATACGACACCAAAAGATGTCCGCCTCCTACCCTTGTAACAAAATGCCAGGTTACGATAGGCTGTCTACAGCATGATCCCAATTTCATAAAGTATTCATACCCACCTGTCTATACGGGAGGAAGGATAATTTTAAGAATGGATGTTTACACTTATTATGACGAAAACCAAATAAATAAAGTGATTCTTTTACAAAGGAATGGATGTTTTTTGCTGCATGGTGTGGGAAAGTGAATTTATTTTCTGCTTATTCTTTCTACAATTAAAAAAAAAAAGAGCTACTTTCATTGGTGGAAGAGGACGAGGGCGAGGCTCCCCTGCAGGGGCCTGGGGGAGGAGGACGGTAGGCGGAGAAGAGCTGGGGGCTGGCTGCACTTCCCCGCTACTGCAGGGAACGGGGCGGGGCGCGGAGCGGGGTGGGCGGGGCGCGGAGCGGGGGGGCGGGGCGCGGAGCGGGGGGCGGGGCGCGGAGCGGGGGGCGGGGCGCGGAGCGGGGGGCGGGGCGCGGAGCGGGGTGGGCGGGGCGGAGCAGCGCGGCGGGGGCGGAGCAGCGCAGGTCGCCCGCCGCTCGGGCGTCCGTGGCCTGGAAGGCGGGGCGGTCGGGCCCCGGAAGGCGGCTGGAAGGAGCGGGACTCCGGGTCATGGCGGTGCCGGGCGCGCTGCTGGTGATGGGCGTGAGCGGCTCGGGGAAGTAGGTCTGGGAGGGCGGGGGGTCGCGGGGGGCGCACTGGAGGAGGCGGCGCGCGTGGCGGAGGCCGGAGCCGTCACCGTTCCGGGCCCGCGGGGTACGCAGGGTTCTGCGGAACCTCCAGCTTCCCTTTGCAGATGAGGAAGCTGAGGCCCGGGGCACCTGCTCCGTCTCCCCACCCTCCAACCTGCCCGTCCCGGGGCGCCGAGACCCGGGTTCTCCGTCGGGCCCCGAGCGGCTCTAGCGAGAGCCCTTCGTGAAGAGGCGCCTGCTGGGGCGCCGCCCGCGGTGGCTCCGGCGGTCACTAGGGCCGGCGTTTGGGAGTCTCTGGTCAGAACGCGGTGGCGGGGTGCGAGGCCCAAAGCGCAGGGGCCAACCTCGTCCCAGTCTCCCACAGACCGTGTCGGGCTGGGCGGAGCGGCAGCTCCCTCCTGCGAGGTGCCGGACTTTCGTGATGAGTTTTTAGAAAGGCAGTTTCACCGGCTGGTCTGTTCTCTCTGTGCTGCGATCAGCGTTTACCAGCTTTACCTGGAAGGAGTCACTGTTAATAAGGAGTCACAAACCCCCTAAGGATTTGCAAGGAGGCACACCGGATGCCACAAAGCCTCTGCCCAGCCCAGTCCGACCAACCTGGGGGCTGGGAGCTAGACTTTGGCTTTCTGATGAGACCAAACTCTAACTGTGCCCTTTACCGGAAAAAGCAGCTACTGCAGCGTTCCGCCACAGGCCCAAAAGACAGATCTTAATCAGGTGAAATATCGTAACTTCAAAGGCCTATAGTACCCTTCTAGAATTTTCTGAACCACGAACTGCTTGTGTGGTCAAGTATATATTAAAGACTCTTTCTTGCTCCAGGTAGGAATGTTTAGGTTTTCAAAATTATTGTGGCATTTTTAGCTTCATCTCTTGAGAAATTAAAATAATTTGGGGAGTCTTGGAATAAAAGTAACATAAAACATGGAGCCTGAAAATCCTTAGCTGTTGTATGAGTTGAAGAAGTTGAATGTAAGACTGCTTCTATGGTGTGATGTAGTGGATGTCAGGAGCCCAGGGTCTTGGTTCTGCTGCTCCTGCCTGCTTGTGTGAGCTTGGACAATTTATGTACCCCTCTGTGCCTTGGATCAGATGGGGGGGGGGGGTCTAAACCATATGCTTTATATGGTTATAGTCATGCATTCAGTAATTATTTATAGAGCTTGATCCTGACTCCGTGTCACTGATAATATGATGAATAGGACAGATAAAATCCCTGCCCTCAAGAGAGTTTACATTCTAGTATGGGAAACAAACAGGAAGTGAATAAATACATGTACATAGTGTGGTAGGCAGTGGGAGGTGCTCCAAGGGGAAAATAAAGGAGAGTAAGTAGAACAAAGAAGAGCAGGCAGGATGGTGAGGGAAGGCTCCTCTAAGGCAGTGGTATCTGAGCAAGACCCACAAGAAGTGAGGGACTAAGCCTGGTGGCTAGCTAGGGAAAGGGCAGTATAGACAAGGGGAATATAGCAAGTGCAAAGGCCCGGAGGCTTTGTTTCATTGTGGATTACCAAGGAAGCCATTGTGCTGAGTAATGGGAGATGAGGTCAGAGAAACAATGAAGGCGAGGAGAAGTGGTCATATGCCGGAGATATTCTGAAGGCAGAACCAGAAAGATGTTTCGATGGACTGGATGTGGGGCATGAGAGAGGGAGAAAGGTGTCAAGGATGACTTTGGGATTTTTGGCTTGGGTAACTAAAAGAAGGGAGTTACTACTGACTGATGGGGAAGCAGTAGGCAGGGCAGATTTGGGAAAAAAAATAGCAGAAGCTCAATGTGGGATGTGGTGAATTGCCTATCAGTCATCTGAGTGGGTTGGTCAAGTGGTTGATTGGATATCCAAGCCCAGAGTTCAGGAGAGGAACTTTAGATATAAATGTAGGAATCCTTGGTGCGCAGATGTATTTAAAGACATAAGACGTTGGGATCACTGAGGGGGTGAGTAAAGATCAAGAAGCTGGCCAAGGACTGAGCCCTGGGCCCTCTGACCATCGCTGACAGACTGAGTAATAAAATGAGAATGATTATATCGATCAACAGATGTAGCAACGTTGAGTTCTTTGGTGACTTTTGTGAGCCCTTGTTAGGGCCTTGCTGGATTTTAAATTACACTCCATAACATTTGAGAGGAAAAAATATCTCAAGAAAACAACAGTCTCAAACCGGAAAGAATGTAGTTAAACCACTGTTAGAACAACAATGTCAAGCATTTACTTATTTACCATGTTTATTGCCTCCCCCTCTCCTACCTGAATGCAAGGGATCTTTTTGTTTACTGCCCTGTCTAGAACAATGCCTGGCATGTAGTAGATGCTCAGAAAATATTTGCTGCCTCAATGGATGAATGAACAAATGAATGAAGGGAGCTATTTGAATAGGTGGTAGTGTTTTCTTTATGTTTTAATAGCCTTTGTGAAGACACCCTCAGCTTCTGGCCTTTTAAATATCTTTTGCATTTAATCTGTGCCCCAGCCAACCACCACTGTCCTACAGTCTTTCAGTCTCCTTGATCCTGATTTAGACCAACCTGCTTAGAGACCTTTGGGCTCCAGACTGGCTTGTAATGCTTGCTCCAACCAGTCTCCTCTGAGCCGAGCACTGTGCCTGGGGTTCCTGTCTGTCCATGTCAAGTCCTGCTGTTCTCTAGTTCAGGAGGTTTGGATAAGCAGTAGACACTGGCTTTTCCTTTTCCTTCAGTCTCCTCCCTGCCAGTCTACACCCAAATCTGGTTAGCTCTTTTTGTTTTGTTTTGTTTTATCAGTGCTTTTTATTATTATTATTATTTGTATTAACATATACTGTATTTGTTTCAGGGGTACAGGTCTGTGATTCATCAGTCTTATACAATTCACAGCACTCACCATAGCACATACCCTCCCCAGTGTCCATCACCCAGCCATTCCATCCCTCCCACCCCCCTCCACTCCAGCAACCCTCAGTTTGTTTCCTGAGATTAAGAGTGTCTCATTGTTTTTCTCCCTTTCTGGTTTCGTCTTGTTTCATTTTTCCATCCCTTCCCCTGTGATCCTTTGTTTTGTTTCTCAATTTCCTCATATCAGTGAGATCATATGATAATTGTCCTTCTCTGATTGACTTATTTCGCTTAGCATAAGACCCTCTAGTTCCATACACGTTGTTGCAAATGGCAAGATTTTTTTTTGATGGCTGCATAATATTCCATTGTGTGTGTGTGTGTGTGTGTGTGTGTGTGTATACCACATCTTCTTTATCCATTCATCTGTTGATGGACATCTTGGCTCTTTCCATAGTTTGGCGATTGTGGACATTGCTGCTATAAACATTGGAGTGCACATATCCCTTTGGATCACTACATTTGTATCTTTGGGGTAAATACCCAGTAGTGCAATTGCTGGGTCGTATGGTAGCTCTATTTTCAACTTTTTGAGGAACCTCCATACTGTTTTCCAGACTGGCTGCACCAGCTTGCATTGCCACCAACAGTGTAGGAAGGTTCCCCTTTCTCCACATCCCCACCAACATCTGTTGTTTCCTGACTTGTTAATTTTAGCCATTCTGACTGGTGTGAGGTGGTATCTCATTGAGGTTTTGATTTGGATTTCCCTGATGCCAAGCGATGTTGAGGACTTTTTCATGTGTCTGTTGGCCATTTGGATGTCTTCTTTGCAGAAATGTCTGTTCATGTCTTCTGCCCATTTCTTGATTGAATTACTTGTTTTCTGGGTGTTGAGTTTGATAAGTTCTTTATAGATTTTGGATACTAGCCCTTTATCTGATATGTCATTTGCAAACCCATTCTGTCGTTGTCTTTTGATTTTGTTGACTGTTTCCTTTGCTTTGCAAAAGCTTTTTATCTTGATGAAGTCCCAATAGTTCATTTTTGCCCTTGCTTCCCTTGCCTTTGGCAATGTGTCTAGGAAGAAGTTGCTGTGGCTGAGGTCAAAGAGGTTGCTGCCTGTGTTCTCCTCTAGGATTTTTTTTTAAAGTAACAATTTTAATTGCTGCTTTATTAAAGCAATTTTTTATAAACATTTCTATCATATTTAAAAGGTCAAGTTCATTCAACTAAGAACCAATTAGAATATGTGACAACCCTAAATCTAATTTTTTAAATCTAATTTTCTGGCCAAGAAATTAAAGCAAGGTTATCCATATAAAGACACAATCCTAAAGATCATAAGCCTTGGCCTAGAGAAGGCTATGCAGAACTGGTGGGGGGAAAAACAACTTATTTATAGTTTTCCAGCAAAAGTTCGAAGTTTTGTTTTTTTGTTTTTTTGTTTTTTACCTCTGCATCACTGCATTTCTATTTAGATTAAAAGGTGCTAGAATGTTTCAATTTGTATCTTCTGATTCTGTAAGTCCCTCTATAGTTACCCACAGAAGTTACTACATTTATAAATACCAAAGATGTAACAATTCTCAAGTTTTCTAGATTACTCCAATAAAATATTTTAAGTTTTCCTATGATTTGAGTATCTGTATTGTCTCTGTAACAAAGCTGGGGGTCGGCATTATAGATACATAAACATAACAGTCAAAAAAAAATCCACTTTCCTGAACAATAAGAAAAAGCAATGATGGTAAATCTCGAGAACATAGTCAATTTTCTAGGATTCTTCCCTTGAAATTGTGACATTTGATTTCCAAACACATGCCAGAGCGTACATGGTTCCCAACTGTACTAAGTAGGTGAGAAACTGAAATCCTAAAATGTTCATCTTCCAACTTTCCCCAGTCTGTGGTCTGTCTTTGGATCAGCAATAATTGCCTGAACAGCTACTATGGCTTCATTAATTTTTGTCTGTAGCTCTCTGAGTTCTTCTATATGCAGCAATTGCAGAATTTGAGCAGCTTCATTAAGAACTGCATCTCCTGTGTCAAAACCAAGAATATGTTTGTCTAAAGCAACAGGCAAGCCCTCTTTCATTTGATTTGCTTTAGCAACTGCATCCTAGGTCAGGCGCTCCTGGACCAAAATGCGAATTGTCTTAAGCATTACCAGGTAATCATCATGATGCTGAATCTGAAGAAGGTTACCCAAAGCCATTACACCAGCCTTAAAATCAGGATTATTTACATCCAAGTTGATCAATGGCTCTGCATTTTTAGCTGCATTGTCAGCATTTTTTGTATTACCAGGTACCAAGTCCTTGTATTTTTCAGCATTATCTCCATATTCAAGTCTAACAGCTAAGCCAAGAAGCCAGTCAATTGCTTCTTGTCGATCTTGAATCTTGAAAGGACAGTTAACATCTTTGAGATACTTTTCAAAGAACTTGGGCCAGTCACTGCTGTGGATGTTTCTTAAATTACCTCTGTCTTCAATCTTGTAGTGTCTGATTTTCTGGTCTTCAAGCCAAACAATAAAGTTTCTAAATTCTGTTTCATCTTTGCAGTTGAAGCCAGCCGGGTTGTGGTAGTCAAGGCCGTCAGCTTGCATCGGAACATGGTCCCCGCGTCTCTCTAGGATTTTGATGGACTCCTGTCTCACATTGAGGTCTTTCAACCATTTTGAGTCTATTTTTGTGTGTGGTGTAAGGAAATGGTCCAGTTTCTTTCTTCTGCATGTGGCTGTCCAATTTTCCCAACACCATTTATTGAAGAGACTGTCTTTGTTCCATTGGACATTCTTTCCTGCTTTGTCAAAGATGAGTTGACCATAGAGTTGAGGGTCCATTTCTGGGCTCTCTATTCTGTTCCATGGATCTATGTGTCTGTTTTTGTGCCAGTACCATGCTGTCTTGATGATGACAGCTTTGTAACAGAGCTGGAGGTCCGGAATTGTGATGCCGCCAGCTTTGCTTTTCTTTTTCAACGTTCCTCTGGCTATTCGGGGTCTTTTCTGGTTCCATATAAATTTTAGGATTATTTGTTCCATTTCTTTGAAAAAAAGTGGATGGTATTTTGATAGGGATTGCATTAAATGTGTAGATTGCTCTAGGTAGCATTAACATCTTCACAATATTTGTTCTTCCAATCCATGCGCATGGAACGTTTTTCCATTTTTTTGTGTCTTCCTCAATTTCTTTCATGAGTATTCTATAGCTCTTTTAAATTGTGAGTGGTGCCTGATGTGTCCATCCCTGGCTCATCTTAGTCTTCAGTGTACTTTCTGTCATGCACAGCTCTGGCTTCCCCAGCCGTGGAGTTCATCACCAGTAGGCTGCAGTATGTCTCCCTTTGCAAGCTTCAGCACAGTGAACCTAATGGGAGAAGTTACAGTGCTTTGCAATCCTTTGGTTACATCAGGGAGGTCTCAGTTGGGTACACATGTGTCTTTAACAGCTAGCTCCCTGAGACCTTCACAAAAGAGAGACAGGACCCTTGAATCCAGCTAGAATGTAAGCAGGGTTTTATTTTCATTATTTTCATATCCTGGGGACTAACAGGTGCTCAGTATTGGCCGAGTGAAATAAGTAATGAGTGGATACATGTTGCTCAGTTTCCCCATTTTGCAGGTGAGGAAACAGGTGTAGAGAGAAAGGTGACTTGCACGAAGCATGTGGCCAGCTGTTAGGTGCTGAGACCCAAGCCCTTCTCCCCAAGAGTGCTGCCTGCTAGGGGAGCAGCAGGTCCTTACCACACGCACCGCACAGAGGGCATTTCCCTCCCAGGCTGACTTCTCATTCCGAATCTTATTTTATTCTTTAAGAGTGTGTCTCTGTTAAACCCCAAACAAGGTGTCAATGCTTTTATGAGCTCCTTTGAACCTTGTGCTGGGAGGTTAAACCCCGTCGGACCCCTCCTTCCAGTACCCTCCGTAAAAGCTCATCTCTATTCAGCATTTTTTTTTTTTTTTTTTGCAAAATATAATTATCTCTAGAACAGGGAACAAAAAACTTCAGAAAGAACTTCAGGAGTTTAATGAGATCTTATATATTGCTTTCTGGAAAAGAAAATTAGTGGTAACTCCGTAACTTTAAATTCCTGGAGAACGCTAACATCATGCTCTAGACTCCAGGGCCGAGAGCATTACCGTCACTGCTTCAATATCATGAAATTACTGGGTTTCAATATGGCGGGGTGGCTGTCTCCCAGGGCACCCCGCATGGTAGGAGGCACGCATGGGTTGGGAAGGGCAGTCACTTGAACCTCTGTGTCCTCTCCACAGATCGACCGTGGGCGCCCTGCTGGCATCCGAGGTAACCTGTTCCGATGCCTCCCAATGGCGAGGCCCATTGTGCTCTTTGCTTCTCCCCCTTGGGCGCCCCTTCTTCTGGCCCATCGTGGTTTGTAAAACTCACCACGGATGTGGCTTGTGAAGCCCAATGGAGCAATCTTGGTTTTCTCCTCGGTGATCACCAAGAGTGATGAATGAAAGGAGTAGCAACCCAGTGAGCAGGGATAGTGACGTGGCATCACAGCCTCCCTGCTTCTTCGGGGTGGGGGGGAGTGGGGGAAGGGGGGCCACGGGGGGAGGGGAAGAGGGGCGGGGGTGGTCCTCGGGCTGCCCATTTCCCCACCTGCCCGGTAGTATCCATAATGGTGGTTGTCACACCCTTTACTTTGTTCTTAAAGCTGGGATGGAAATTCTACGATGCGGACGACTATCACCCAGAGGAAAACCGAATGAAGATGGGAAAAGGGATCCCGCTGAAGGACCAGGTAACATTTGCCGTCTGTTTCCAACACAGACGCTCCAGCCAGGAGCCGCAGGCAGAGCTCTCGCAGCATGTGGTGGAGGAGAGTTGGGGCCAGGAGAGACAGTGTCTCCAAAGCCAGGCGCCCGGGGTCCTGCATGTGGTCAGCTCTGGCCCTGAACTTCTCTCCGAACGCAGAGCTAGGCGGGATCCCACCCCACCCCTGCTTGGGCAGGGCCTGCCAGGACACTTTGTCGCAGGCTTTTAATCCGCAGGATGTTAATTCCCCAGGTTCTGCCTTCATCTTCGTCCCCAGGCCTTTGAGCTGCCACTGGCACCAGACTCACAACCACCCCGAAGCCATAGGGGTTGTTACAAATTCAAATCGAGCCCTCTGGAAGCTTCCCATCCATCTCAGGGTCAAGACCAAACAGCTAAACGCCTCAACATGCCCCGCTCCAGTCTCTTCGGGTGTTGTGCCCGCCCTCCCTCTCTCCACCAGAGCCCCCCTGGCCCCTGTCAGTCACTCCTGCTGCCTCGCTCCGCCCCACAGGGCCTTTGCACCTGCTGTTCCCACTGTCTGAAATGCACTTCTGTCCCCTCCCGTTAACCCTGCTCCTGTTCACAGCTCAGCTCCTATGCCACTTCTTCAGGGAAGCCCTCCTGGATCTACTAAAGTAAAACCTCCTGTAATAAACTCTCATAGCACCATGGCCCACATGGCCCGGGGCCCGGTTGCAAGTTGGCACTATTTATCTCTGCAACTAGATTTTACTTCTGAAAGGGCTAGGACTGTGGCCTTTCTGTTGACCATTATATACCCCACAGGGCTGGCCACACAGTAAATGTCGGAAGATACCTGTGACTCCGTTGTAAGGGAAGGAATGAATAGCACCTCATTCCTTTATGCACCGTCATGAGGCCATTTCCTAAGGGCCGCTCCCAAAGCAGAGGTGCAAACTGGACTCACTGGTGTAACTCACTGTAGCCCAGGAGAGATGTGAGGGCTGGGGCCCCAGCCAGGCTCACAGGCCGGGGTGTCCAAAGGGCAGGAACAGAGCGGAACTGGCCGAAGACCAACGCTGTGGTTTCCACTTTCAGAGACCTTGGCCCCAGCCGTGCTGCCACTAACTCACTCTCTTCCCGTTGTCCTGCCCCAAGGGGCTGGAGTCCCTCACCATCACTAGGTCTAATTCTAGGGACTCTGAGAGTACACTTCTGTTTCAGGAGTATGGCTTGATGTGGCCAAGATTCAGACTTTGAACTATCAAAATTAAGTTTGCGACATTTGACTTTAGAAGATAGGAGGAGGGAACCATAAAAGAGATACAGAATAATAATTGGAGGATAATAATGACATTATACTAGAGATAAAGACATAGTGCAGATAACCTGGCTCCACCACTAAGCTTGTGTGGCCTTTGGCAAATGGCTTAGTCTCTCTGTGCCTCATTTTCCTCCTGTGAAGTAGGGGTGGTAACAGGACCCATTTCATTGGGTTCTTGGGAGGATTAAATGAGATACTACTAAAAAATATGCACAGTGAAGTATCCAAAGCATTCAGTAAATATCACTTATTATTGTCGCTAATATATCTATATGAACACGTATGCGTAACATAAACCATTTCTACCGAGTGTGTAAAATGTGACCGTGCCAGGGTTATTTTTCTCCTTGTCGGGTGCAAATAAAAGTTAAGTTAAAGAACTAAGTACAACTAACCCAAATGGATGGATTTTTAAAATGGCATTTAAACATCCTTCCTCCTGTTCACAAGCGAGGCTTGCTAAGTGGGCAGTCTGGATGGGGGGGAGGAGTAGAGTTCAGAAGAGGAATTTATTGTACGGAAGAAAAGGTTATTGGTTACTGGAAGAAACATAAGGAGTCATTAAATATATTTAGGAGAAACTACAAGTTAGCCAGACTTTAGACTTTGTCTCTTCCAGGGAGAGAAAGAGCTAGAATGGCAGATGGTTGACATTCTTGAGGAGAGCTCAGCTAGGAGTGAAGGTGTGGGTCACAGCTGGGCTGGCAGTGGGGGGGTGGAGGGGTGGAGAGCGGCTCCTGGTCACCCTAGCAACCAGTCCCGCCCCCGTGATCCTGTGAGGAGGACCCAGGGGAAAGCCTGAGCAGAGGTACCGTCTCCTCTGGGGAAGGCTTGGGGAGGGTTCTGTGCTCAGAGGGCTGCGGTTTGAAGAGAGGCAACCTGTGTTGAATATTCCAAGGGCTCCTTCAGGCTATTTAAATGTGTATGAATACAAAATAAACTGTGAACTCCAGTTCTCGGGGTTACACTGCCCAAGTGTTCAGTAGCCGCATGTGGCCCGGGGCTACCACCCAGATGACGCAGGGAACACTTCCCTCACGACAGAAAGCTCTAGTGGACAGCGCTGGCCTGCACAGATAACCCCCCCAGGCTGTGACAGGATGTTACTAGTGTGATGATGCTGTTGCTGATCAAGGATCTGCAAGCTGCCAGGCAGTGTCCCCCGCCTCGAGCCAGGTCCATGTCGTCCAGCAGCCCGCAGTGACACTGAAGCAGATTTCAAAGTCTGTTAAATGAGGGTTTTTTTTTTTTTTAAAGATTTTTATTTATTTATTCATGAGAGAGAGAGAGAGAGGCAGAGGGAGAAGCAGGCCTCCCGCGGAGCAGGGAGCCCGATGCGGGACTCGATCCCAGGACCCCGGGATCACGACCTGAGCCGAAGGCAGATGCTTAATGCCTGAGCCACCCAGGTGCCCAAATGAGGGGGTTTTTGAGAAAAATTTTCCTGATTATAAATGTAACACTTGCCTTGTATGGAAAATTTGGAAAGTACTTGAAAATGTTTTTACAGAATACATCACTCTTGGTTTTATCTTTCAAAAAATACCTACGAATTTTGGAGTTTTTTTTCTATCTTTTTTGAGGTATATATTCTTTTCATGTGTGTTATTTCCTCTGTGGTCTCAAGTTCATTTTTGTACCAGGTAAACACCGGTCCCTGGCCTCTGCTCTTCCCCACCCGCTCCTTCCTTCCGCTCTATCCGCTGCCTCCCCCAGTAGCGCTGGGACGACTCCGTTTCCTGAGTTGTTCCTCTGAGCTCCAACTCCCCTTCTCCCTTTAACCACCATCCCCTTCCAGGAGACACTTCATGTCTCTAGATGTTTCCATCACATCACCAAAACCACAGGCCCAGGAATCTTTCCCTGTCCTCTTGATGTTCTGATTGAACTCCTGCTAGAACATTCTAGCAGATGTTGTGCCCACTACCTCCAAGCACTGGGCTGGGGGCAGGGGACACCATCAGAAATGAGATGACCTTGAATGTCAGACCCAGCAAGCAGAGATGCTCATTTGGATTATGTTTCCTCTTCTCTTCCCCCTAAGACTCTGTGTGTTTGACTTTCATAATTTATCCTATCATCTGTAGTAACTACTCACAGAGTTGAGTGAATTTACTCTAATATCTCCTTTTCTTTCCAATTTCTGCTTTTGTGAAGAGGGGATCTCAAATCACTCCCTTTCATCACAAATGTGAACACAGAATTTGGAGCTCATGCCTCCAAGTCCTCCTATTTAACACCCTTACAGTAAAGCCCAGCCTTCTTATCAGTCACTCAAGTTCCTGACCACCAGTCAAGACGGTTTCTCCTGATCTTCCTCACCACCAACTCCCACACCTCCTGCTCACCAGGGCTAAGAAGCATCTGCTTCACCCGTTTACTGAAGAGTGTCTGTATACCATCTTTAATACTCCCAGTCTTGGATTATGCCCTTCCCTCCACTTTTGTACAACAAAAGTGCTGTCAACCAAAAGTTATGGGATGCCTTTGAAACATTACTTAGAAGGAAATCTATGGGCTCTGGAAGCATTTCCGGAAAAATAACAAGAATGGAGAGTAATGAGCTAAGTGTTCAAGCAGGAAAAAACAATAAACAAAAAGGAAGAATGTAGGAAAAAAACAGAAATGAATGCTGAAATTAATGGAATATAAGCCAAAGAAACTATGTAGGTGATGAGCAATGCTGTTTGAAGAAAAAAAAAAATAGACAAATCTCTAACAAGACTGATCAAGAGTGGGAAAAAGGCACAATGAAGAGTAGGAATGAAAAGAGGGCTGTGAACAAACTGATGTTTGTATATTTAAAGACTTAAATTGGACAATTTCTTAGAAAAATATAAATTACTGTGGGAAAATGGGCTTGGATGGCAGAGATATGGTGGCAGAGCCTATTCTGCTTTTCCCCCACATGGAACTAAGACCTTGCTGATGCTGCAGCTGGCTTAAGAATCAGGACGGTCCAGAGATCTAACTTTATGTGTGGTCTCTTCCTGCTATCTCAGATACCAAAACTGAATCAAGAATAGAAAACCTGAACATAACAATGCTCATTTAAAAAAACTGAATCTGTAATCCAAGATCTCCCCTCAAAAAAGGCCCCAGGCCCAGATGGTTTTTCAGAGGAGTTTTGGTCAGCTTGGACCGCTGTAATAAAATACCACAGACTGGGGGCTTAACCAAGAGACATTCAGTTCTCACAGTCCTGAAGACTGGAAGTACAAGATCAGGATGCTAGCATGGTCAGGGTCTTGGTGAGGGTCCTCTCCCTGGCTTGCAGGTGTGGGGGAGAGGAGAGGCTACAGCACAGGAGGGCAAGCACACCATAGCTCCCTGGTCTCTTCTTCAAAGGGCACTAATCCCATCATAATGTCACTGCTTAACTGCCCAGAGACTTGACCCTGCAGCCTTGTCATGGTCTACTTTTCAAAACCACTAAGATTTCTCTGGACTTTAACACTGATGAACATGATTAACTGTGTTTCTGTATAAATAAACAAGACCTGGGAAAGTAACTTTGTGTCTGCTTTAATTTCAGGACAGGATTCCATGGCTCTGCAACTTACATGACATTTTACTAAGGTAAGAGACCTTGGCATAAGCCAGTGAGTAAAGAAAACTTCAGAAAGTAGAGGCAAAAAATACATTCTTGAAATCACACCTGGCTGATGATAAAGGATCCCAGAAATGGAGGGCACTCCATTACTTCTGTCAAGTAATCAACAGTGATTTACACCAGCTAGAACCCACGTGTAATTTAGCTGGGTTCTGGAAATGAACCTTCTAGACAGCTCCGCAATTATCATCTGGGAATCCTGGTCAGCCAGTTGGCTTCCATAAGCCTGTTTCTTCATTTGAAAATAGGGATATAGTTCCTACTCACAGATCACTGTGAGAATTAGTGAGATGGGGCATGGGGGGCACTCAGAACGGTCTCTAAAACGTCAAAAGTGCTGGGAAGGTGGTAACCGAAGCCACCACTGACTGTTCTAGTCACATCTTTGTCTCCACCTCTTCCCCACCCCCCACTTCAAGCTGGGGCAACCAGGGAATACGTGGGGTCATTTGTAAGTGAACAGGTCACCAGAATTGGGAGTCCCAATTTGTCTGCCCTGTATCATGCCTCTGAGCAAATTAGGTCCCCTCCACCCATCTGGCGACCTGACCCCTGGGAATCCTGGTTGGGATGTGGAGAAGGATAAAGAAAAGGCAGGGAATGGCTTATAAATCTTGCTTTCTAAAATGAAGATGACATCTCATATTTTATAAATCTAAAACCATCTGCACCATATGCAATTAGAATATACTTAAGATTAAAAGTTCAGTTTCCTCTTCCACACCGCACTGACCTAGCCAGCCACCCTGTCTCTGCATAGGCTTCGAGTTCAGGGGCTTAGGGCTTCAGGGTTTCAGAACTCCTACCCATCTGGGTCTCTAACCTAAGCAGACTCTTCAGGGATCAAATACACTGACTGTGACGGAAGCAGAAACGAAGATGATCAGGAGAGCAGCCATCAGACATTCAGACCCAGAGTAAACAAGCTCTTACCCATGACCTCTGGGAAGAGCAGAAGGCCCAGGTACCTAAGTTCGTTGCTGATGATCCATTCCATCCACTGGATCTCACCTGTACACTGGCCATAGATCAAAGGCAGGCGCCTTCAGGATTCTCAGTTCTGAAGAAGACATTCTGCCAAGTACCCAAGCCAGGGTTTACCCTTCACCCTTCACCTCTTTACTCGAGTCCCTTCCCAGCCAGAAGACGGCGACCTCTCCTGACCACGGACGGGGGCACAGTGGGGGCTCACTCACATGGGCAGTCTCGAGCACGCTGGCTCCCCTTCGTGGTGCCTTGTCACTCTGCCTCTACTTCTGGCTCAGGTTTTTTCTTAGCACATCCCTGGACGCTTCTCTTACCTTGCTCACCTTGGCCACAGAGAGTCTGATACTCCCCTTTTCTCCTGCTTGCTCCAGCTCTGCACTGGTAACTTCACCAGACTCCCAGCATATTGCAGAGCGGGAACGGGGAGAAGCCAGCTGTGAGATGTAAATCACGGAACGCCTGTGGAACACCCAAGCGGAGGTGTGCGGGGCAGAGGCACCCGCCAGCAGCCATCCGGGTCCACACTCGGTGGCTGGGGAGCAGAGCTGACCCTTCCAAGCACTTCCTGTGCACTGGGCACCCGGATAAACGGTTCCTCACAACTCTATGGACAGGTGCTCTAAGTAGCCCCATTTAACCGATGATGAACTGATGCTCAGGGAGGTAAATACCTTGCCCAAGACAGCTCGGTTCACTAGTGGAAGGAACATCTTTACCTTAAAGTCAGGACCACCATTTTGTAATGCCTTCCACCGGCAGAGAAGTAGGACCAGAGTCTTCAACCTAGAATCGACACCAGTTATTTCAAAGGTCCTCGTTCTTTAGTCCCACCCCCCCCCCCTTTTTTAACAGAGATGTAGCCTCTGGACAGCATGTGGTTCTAGCCTGTTCGGCTCTGAAGAAAGTGTACAGAGACACCTTAATACGAGGAAAAGATTGTGCACCCCTGAAGTGTGATGAGACGGGGAAGGACAAACAGCCAGCTGAGGTGAAGCTCCTTGTGGTCCATCTGAGTGGGTCGTTTGAGGTCATCTCTAGACGTTTACTTGAAAGAAAAGGACATTTTATGCCCCCCGAGTTATTGCAGTCCCAGCTCGATATTCTGGAGCCCCCATCGGCTCCAGAAAATTTCATCCAAATCAGTGTAGACAAAAATCTTTCGGAGATAATTGCTACAATCACGGAAGCTCTAAAATGAGAATGGTTTCAGATCGGGGGTCCAGAACAATCAAGCAGACATGTCTAGCCCATGATCCCAAACTGTGTTCTAGCGTCTTTGCCAATACCGTATTCTAAATTCTTGGGGTGAACAAACCCTAGTGTACTGAGCTATACTTGTCTGGGTATATTTTTAGGAATCTGTGCTCTGGCACCTGGGGAGGAGACAGGAGGGAACTTTGAAAGTAAAGCTTCAACAGAAATCCAAATTCCTGTGACCTAATCAGACATCAGAGGGAATCCTATAATCGATACTGTGAATCACAACCTTATTCAAAACATCCCTGATTGTGTCTGTATTTGAACAAATAAATGAAACTTGGCTATCCTTGGCATCCCCTGGAAATTGGTCCCAGGAGCAGAAACGTGTACAAAATCGACCGCTCACCAATAAGTCCCATACACCACACGCTTCCTAATCCTCTTTCCTTGGATCATCTCAAGATAAATAAATAAAAAGCACGTATAGTTTATGGATATAAAAAATTGCAGAGGTGGAACTTTAGTGGATGAAGCATGGGACTCACTGACCCAACTGTCCCCACTCATTTCACAGAGACCCCTTGTGAGACCAGGCTGGTGGCAGCCACCTGCCCTCCTGCTGCTAAAGTCATCAGCAGGGGACTCTAGACAAGGAAGGAGCACCAGAGCCGCCATGGCCTGACATGAAATGAACCTCCCCCCCCCGCCCCGCCGGGGCAGCAATGGACCAGGGGCAGCCGGGCTGGGTGAGGCTGTGCGGGAGGCTGGAGGCACTGGTACGTTCTGGGCCAGCACAGGCTGCGTTTCAGCCCTTCCCCCAGAGGCTCCAGAAAGAAGTGTCCTTATCCCCCTATCCTAACCTAACCTCTGTCCTAGCCCCAGAATGCAGCTACTCTGCAGGGCCACTGATGAGCCCTGCCCAGAAAGTGAGCTTTGGAACCAGCTACCTATTTTTTCCCACAAGGGCATGCAGCCTGTCTTGGGACCTACAGAGAGAATATGTGCCAGGGGTGCCAGGGGAGTGAAAGGGCCCTTCTGGGTAGACAGACCTTGCTTAAGAAACCATGAAGCCTCAGAGCTTCCTCTCTGCCAGGCGATTTGAGAGGCATCTCCTGCCTGGCTTCAGTCTGCATCAGCCCTCAGTACTTGGGGGTCCAAGCCCTCAGGTTGGCCAGTCCACAGACTCAGGCTGGCTGAGAGTCACCCCCAGACACAGAAGAAGGACTCAGTCAGTCCACTGTCCTCTGAGTCTGGACTGGATACCGTGATGGGCACTCTGCAGGGTCTGCGGACCTGTCATGCAACACAAAGCTCTGGCTCTCGGGTGGCTTCCATCAGGGTGGAAGGACAGGCGAAGGCCTGGGGCAGCTGGTGGGGACTAGTGAAGGCCATTGCTCACAAAAAAGAACTGATTTTCATTCCACTGGACTGTCACGTAGGACCTGGTGAGAAAGCCTGCTTGTAAGAGCACAGAAGCTATTATATGCATAAATAAAAATGTTTTTGCAGTTATAATGTACAGTGAAATTTCCAAGAGTACCAAAAAGGAACAACTGTATTCTTTTTTTTTTACCTGGAGTTGTTTACCATGTCAGAAAAAATCACAGTGTGTTTCTGTCACGAATGTAACACACCTACATCAACCTGCGTTTGTAATTCTTCACTCACAGTGATCAGCCCATAGGCACAAGCACCCATCTGCTCCACTGTGTTGGTCTAGGGCAACTGTGTCCAAGTGTTACATACTGAAACTCCTTAGTTTATCACAAGTTACTCCCTTTTTCTCCTTTAGAGGGAAGGTATCATATTTACTATTTGCTGGGGTAAGTTTTATTAGACATCAGTTTCACTTCTGGAAGGGGGACATCAGAAAATAGTTGTTAAAAATGAAGAGAGGCACTGGATCTCCTGGGGTTGAGAACCACTGCTTAAATCCCGAGATGGACACAGGGAGGCCAAGGCGTGCGCCAGTGCTGCCCTCTGGCGGCCCCGGGGAACACCACAAGCACAAACCGTTCTCCCAGCCCTTGAGAACACTGGCAGGCAGCCATGGGTCCTGTCCTTGGGTTGGGGGCAGTGGAAGGCAGCTCCCCACCCAGCCCTGACCATACCCTTGCTCAGGTTCTATGACCTGCAAAGAAGAGGCAGGTGAGACCTGTTTGCTGTGGCTCAGATAGATGCCAATGATTTTCCCCACCCTGCAAATACCACTTAACCACCCCCTCTGGCAGGAATTCTCCATCTTGCCCCCTACTCCACGGGAGGAAGTGTAGGTTCAACGTTTTCCTTTCCTCTAAGACGTCGCCTGCCTCATAAAGTTGTGAAAACTGAGAGTACACGCACGGTGTGGAGACCACAGCCGACACAACAAATGCTAGCTCTTACGCTTGTCACCCTTGGCGCCCGAGGCCGCGTGGCCACAGGACAGACTCCTACTCTGCCTTCCCGGCTGTGGAGGAGCTTATGAGCCCCTGCTAAGTAGGTGAATCTTAAGTCTTTGGGCTCTAACAGGTCTTCCTTCTTAACCGCTGCCAGTGTCTGCTTCCACGCCTGCCCAGCCCGGGGGCCTGACCGGACTCGGACATCTGCCGTCCACCAGCTCTGCAATCAGGAGCCGGACAAGACTGAGCTCCAGGCACAACACTGCCACACAGTCACTGGGGAACCATGGGCAGGGCACCACTACGGGGTGTCCCCACCAGCTGCCCCAAAGTTCCAGAACTGTCAGGCCAGGCCTCTCTAGAGACTGCTCTGATGAGCAAACTATCTTTCAGTGGATGGGAGTGCAAGAAGGGAGAAATTAAAACAGGCTGGCCCTAACCAAAGATACCATCAACCAGATTTTAATTTCTGAAACTACCATGCAAGTTTATTCTCCCTTCACTGAATAGCGAATCTGTATGTTCAAAATGATTGAAATTAAAGTATTAACTGTATTATGGGCATTGTGAATGCCAACAATTACCAAGGAGTAGAATATTAGATATCCAGCCTACAAGGTTGTGTTGGACCTCAATGTAGGGAGGTGTTTTCAATCCTTACAGAGTATTTTACAGGTGTAAAATACAGCCAGGTGCCGATTTCCAGACAATCTTCAATCCCTCCAGTGGAGTTTCCCCCAGTGGCCTTAAATGCTATAGAAACTGAATTTCACTTTCTGGGTTACAGATGGAAAGTCATGGGCCATCACTCAGGAGGACCCAAGACCTCAAGCTGAATATCTAACACATAGCTCAACTAAGGATCCAATGAGATTGTGTGGGGGAAATGTCCCAAAATCGTGACAGTCAATGGTAGGACCTGCACATTTGAATGCCCAGGGGGCCTAAGCAAAAACAATAATGGTGAGATATAGCAGGCATTAGGGAATGGTGAGGACTATGGCACAATAGAAAATGCATGCATTACCTAAAAAGGGCAGCCACTACTCAGCTCCAGATGATGCAGGAACATACCTGCATTATACAAGTTGGGTTTATTGGTTGTTGCATAACAGAGAACAGACCTTCAGCACCATGGGGGGAATCTCAGTAAGATGTCACAAAAGGACTTAAATTTTGGACACATTAGGTGATTTGAGGGGGGGATTCAAGGAAGCTGTGGAGGAAGTAGGGAATGATTGGGTATCTTAGTAAGGTGAGAGAAATGAACTGAGGCTAAGAGCGATCATTCATCAAGACGTGTCCAGGACGGAGATATTTGGTCACTTTTGTGGAACGGATGACGTTCATGTTTTTCTCTGTGTGCAGGCACGATTACAAAATGGATCTTTTGACTTTGGTCACAGAGCAGTCTTGTAGCCATGTAGGTATTCTGTGAAATTATTCAGAAGGACAGAGAGACCTCACTTTTAGTAGTAAGGCCAGCTCCTGGATGACAGGCACTGCTTTTCTTCCCTCTACTTGTCAGATATCAAGGTCTTTTAGGCCTAGATTTGACACATTTATCTTGAGGACACAAAACAGAGCTCAGAGGGTTTAACCTGAACTTCCATTCTCAAGAAGTGAGAAATTAGTAGGCTTTCCATCTTAAGTAAAGGGTCAGGTTGCAGTAGATGGTTACACTCTGAGGTCAGAGGATTGAATAACAAACTAGTGGATTAATCTCTGAGGATCTATAGCACTTCCTTCTGTAGTTGGGGCTCATGTGGTTAACCTTTTAAAAGACTACTGAACTGGTTTCCAAGTAGCTGCACCATTTTACATTCCCACCAGCAATCCTACCAACACTTGTCACTTTCTCTTTGTCGTGACTACAGCCATCCTAGCAGGTGTGAAGTGGCATTTCATTAAGGTTTTGATGTGTATTTCCCTAATGATGTTGTATATCTTTTCATATGCTTATTTGGCCATTTGCTTATCATCTTTGGAGAAATGTCTATTCAAATTCTTTGTGCCTTTTTAAATTGGGTTGTTTTTTCCTCTTTTTATTGTTATGTTAAGAGTTCTTTATATTAAATCCTGGATACTAGATGCTTAACAGATGCATCATCTGCCAATTCTGTGGGGTTTGTTTACTTGATCAACTCTGAAGCACAGAAGTTAAGTTTGCTAAAGTCCGACTTACTTTTCATTGGTTACCTATGTTTTTGGTGTCATATCTGAGAAACTACTGCCCAGTCCAAAGTTAAGAAGATTTACACCTTTGTTTCTTCTGAGAGTTTTATAGTTGTAGCTCTTACATTTGTGTCTTGGATCCATTCTGAGTTAGTTTTTGAATAAGAATATGAATTGCAACAAGATCCCAGGTTATGTGCATGCACAATGAGGTTGAGAAGCACTGCCTTGAATGACTAATCAATTCCCATTTCCCTTTAAATCCGTGGTTCTAACCTTGGCAGCATATTACAGTCACTTCAGCTTTACAAAATCATGCCTGACTTCACTCAGAACAATTCCACTTAGTCCGTGGTGGGCTTATTTTTTAATCTCTTCAGTTGATTCTGATGTGAAGCCAGGGCTGAGAACTACCATCTCTTCACAAATTCTGCATGGATTTCACCCACATGTCTTTGCTAGGCTGGTCTGCAGGTACTGCCTGCTTAATATGTGATATTTGGATTTCCAACAAAGCCACAGTAAGATTGGGATCGGCGTTCACGATGACTACAGTACATGAGATTGTAGGCTTAGTGTTTGGATAGGACACAAATCACACTTCAATCACTAGAAGATGGAGGTCATATTGAATGGTAGTATATGCAGGTAGAGTGGAGACAGGTACGAGAAGAGGAAATAAAGAACTTCAACACTGTTCTGGGAAAACCAAAGATCTCAGGATGGCCAAGAGCATGGTCTACAACTAGCTATATTTTAACCTCTAGTTACCATGTTCTGTTTGAACCAT